TCTGCTCAGCCAGCAGGTATTTGAAATAGAGAAGGTGCCTATCCATTCTCTTCCCAGGTCCAGCCCTAATCCCAGCCTCAGCATGAGGACCTGTGGTGACTGCCTTGTATTTCTCTTGTGATAATTTGTTAGAATCTATATGGGAAAGCTGGGAAGAGTGTGTGTTACACATAGAATAATGATTGATATTCTCAAAGTTCTTACCTGGCACCTGACCAACTGGGGACTAAAATCTGCCCAGCATTTTGCTAAGCTGTCCACCCTGGTACAAATCTGTGTCCACCCAAAAAGATGGGTATGTTTTTCTGCTTCGCACAAAAGTCACGTTATAGGCTAGCACTGGCCCTGGACCCCATCCTCTAACTGCACGTGCGTTTAGATTTCTAAGGAGCCAATTAGTTCACGATGGTGAATCTTGTTTTCTGCAATACCAACTTCAAAAGTTCACTGCATCAATAGATTTCCCATGTGTTAACTGGACTCAAATTTGGCTCACACTTGAGCTAGTTAAGAACGAAACTTATGAAGAAATATAACATTTAAAATGATTGTATGCATGAAGTACCACAGTTATATGATAGTCATACATTTAAAATCTATGAATAGTTGTAAATTTATCCAGCTTAAATAATATATACTTAAATATTTCACATGATAATATACTTTACCTTGAAAGAACTCCAAAATAGTACTTTTCGTCTTAGGATATATGATTAATCTTTGTATCTACACTCAAGAAAACAATATAAACTATACGCAGAAAGATATTATCATGCATTTTAATGTTCAAATATACTTAGATGTTTTGTATTATTAACTTTGAAAGCACACCAAGATAATATTAAGGCTATCTAAAATCTCCAGATTCATGCTCAAGACAGTAACATAAATTATATGCAGAAAGCCTTAATCATGCAATGCAGCATCAAAACTTATTTTGTTCTTTTCGTAAATAAATTTGTAGAATTGCAATAAATAATCAGCCTTTATTCAGCATGAAAATTACACAGCACTTTAAAAGACAAATAATGAGCAAAGCAATG